TTATTTGGTAAAATGTTTGTTGTAGCCTTGTAGGGATACTTTGGTGCCGCAATTGGGAAGGGCAGGCAAGCTGCTAAAACGTAAGAAAATTTTCTCTACGTGTGCATGCTCCATGTTGCTCTTCTTATATGTTCCAACCTACTCCAAATATGATGCTAGCCTACTTGGTTATGTTGCCTTCCCAGTTCGCCAAAAATGTTGACACACGGAAGATTAATGTGCATAATCTTTTAAATTTTGCGGATTAGTGTGTCTGGTTTTGCTATTTTCATTTGAAACTATGGCTATATTTTCTCCTCTGTCAAACTCTACAGTTATGTCAGTAATTGGATTTAGATACTTGTATTATTGTCTTATTTATGTTTCCAACACAATGCTTAAGATCTTTTGGATTGCACTCTTATTACACAATTCCCGAAGCCGCCGCCCCCCCAAAAATGTTTGTGCCACTTTAGACTAACCTAGGGATGTAAATCCGGGCCAAGCTGTCCATGCCCAAAAATCCAGCCCGCATGTGGAGAGTCAGGTAGCTCAGCCCGCAGATAAAATGTGGGCCATACTGGGCTCATAAGCAGCCTGCATTAGTGCATTTGGGAAAGCATGGCCAACAATTTGTTCCAACCCACCCACTTTAAGGCGAACCTAACTGCAAGCTTAAACTTCTGGTCTTCAGCTTCCAACATTGTTTTATTGCTTGTGGAGACGTGTTTTTGATAAATAAGTGTCCAGATCTGGTCTAGAGAGAGTTGTCACATACTTCTACATATTCTTTATCTATCCACTTATGTCGATTTTGGGCGCAGATGCCCTTTTGTTTAAAGGTGGTTTGAGTTTTTCTCAAAAGAATGGAGTATAGGTTACTCGATTGGTTGAATTAATCATTTTAATTGTTTTAATAGATTAAGTAAAGCATCAACAAGTATTTTGCAGTGCATGCTCTGAACCACTTGATATATTTTCGAGAGTATTCAATCAAATAGTAAAATCCATGAATGAGAAATAAATAGCTTTTGTATGTATTTCTTCTTGTGTTATACTATAAATTGAAGGTCTAAAAACGTCGTCGTCTATTAATCTAAAGATGATTGTAGAACATGAATGGACAGTTTTATTTCTCGCCTGTCGCTTGGTTCAGACTCGATGGAGGAAGAAGACCTGGCCACTGGCAAGCCTCCCCCGCTGCACTTCTGACAACTAGTAACCACCACATTCCTGCGGCAAGATGGGCAGGAGGAGTGAAGTCCTAACCACGTATCAATGCATTCAACGTGGAAGCCATGACCGCACTGAGGAAGCACTCGGAGTTCATCTCCGGCGGCGAACTCCGCCAGGCAAATTGCGCAGTCGGAGAGGTTGTCGTTGTTGGCGGCGTAGGTCAGCTTCGGAAGGTACTTCAGGACCTTCTTCTACATGCCATTGTTGGCCGTCGCAGCATCGTCCGATGGCGGCGGTGTTATCCAAGAGTTTGAGATAGAAATACATACAGAGGAACTTGAAGACAAGCACCGTGAATACGATGCAGAGCTGTATACCGACTTGAAGCGGCGGCGGTGGCAACGGTGAAGGTGGTGGATGCAAAATAGGTGGATTTGCGCCATCAAGAAAACGTGAACCTCTAGCCATGTCAATGAATGCGAATTGGATTGTGCTTCGCGTTTTAACTTTTAGGTACAATTTATCCGACTTTGAACAGTGAAATATTTCCATGTCCTTGTGACAGAGTAAGAAGATTACAATAATATTTTTAACATAAAACATAACATACAATTTACTAAATCCATGTCCTTTGTCTCAAAGATTGAGGACAACCATCCCAAAATGGTTTCAATACACTCATTCTAATGTTAAGCCAATACAATATCATCTCACACTCGCACATGATAGACTTATCCATTTGAAATGCACAATTTAAAAAACACAAACAAACTGACCCAACCTATTCACCATATCTCTATTTCATCTTGAAGTTTGGAGCTTATCAATACTCTTATCAATTTGAAATGCCTTGTTAAGGATATCACTACCGGGTTTTGATTTGAAAACCGCATTTGCAATGGTTATAACACCCGGATTTTGACTAGTGAATTAGCATGACACGGAAAACAAACACATAGCCCTTTTGAAGCACCTTAGTAATGTGGTGATTCTTGGGGATTGAAATGATGCAGCCAACTTGTAGAGAACCTTCAAGGATGATTGAAATTTCTGTGGCTTGGGGTGAGTGTGAGAGGATTGATTCCCCATGGCACATAATCAACATGAGTTGTTGCGATGCGGAGTGTGTTGAGTTCTGGTAATTGTGTTAGAGTTACTAGTAATGTCAATTGGGGGATGTAGCTCAAATGGTAGAACACTGACTTTGCATGCGAGAGATTAGAGGTGTCAATTTGGCTTGTCGGGTTAGGCGACCCGTGGTTTAGCCTAGAAAAAGCTAGAGTCATCCCTGCTCCTGGCTCGATTCAACCGACCCGAGGCTCGGGCCAAGCCCCATTTTGTGGCATCGGCCCCGGCCCGAGCTTGAGCCCGCTCATGTAGCTCGTTGAGCCACACCGTGTCACATGTTATTTTCGAATGGCCCTTGATGAATTAGTCCCAAAAAAAATTAAATAAAAATTAAAAGTTGCCCGTGTCAAGCAACTGCAAACTGCTCATTGACATCCCTACAAGAAGCACGAGGTTTAGATAAATATTTCTCCAATTTCAATATCACACCAACACTTTAACAAAATTATTATTATTTTTCTATAATTCTTTGTTTTCTAAACCCATATACACGTGCGCACGTAGTATAAAATGTTGGTTTTGGAAACTATTTTTAAGAAAAATAAGCGGAAGCAAGAACAATCACATTGTAAGATTTTTTTTTTCTTTTTAATCAAACAATACACATTAACTTAAGCAACATGTCATTAAGGAATATATTAAAATGATACCGACGATCGCCTAGGATGTAAATATTGAACTCCTTTATATCATCAACCTCTCAAAAGCTCCACAATTCTTTCTCGATGTATCTCCAATTACAAGGAATGAACGAATAGACTTTTCAGATTTGGGTTTGATTCACACACTCATTTTATGTTCTCAACACAATACACAAAGTGGGAAGAAGAGAAATAACTCTGAAAAATGTATTTCACGTAAATTTATGTGTTATGTGCGTTATTTTCTGATTATAAATAGGATTATGAATCCTATTTATAGTTGAAAAATATAGCTTTATTTTATTTTTTTAATGACAATTCCAACAAAACCACACTTATCACTAGGATGAAGCGGTGTCACTTGAATGGGAGAATTTTCTCTCCCATATACTCTTATTAG